AACCTTCATAATTTCATTTGTAGATCTTTCCATTTCTAATTTATAAATACACTTGGGGTTATAAATTATAAATGTACTGCCTCTTGTCAACATTGTATACTTCTATTTGATGATTTCTGTGTCAAACATTATATGGAAATGTTTCCAAGTATTTTCTGTATTAACTGTGAATGAATAGAACAAAATAAATTGCCTGTGATGGAAAAAAAAAAAAAAAGAGGAAAGACGACCATCAGTTTCATATACAAAGTGAACACAGCTCTACAAGCTCTGAATTTGCACCTCCTTCTGGTATTCCATCCCGAAGCCAGTCAGAACATAAAGCAATGGGAATTTACCAGTCCATAAACACCATGTCAGAGCAGTGTTTTACAATCCACGTGATGGCTGTCTATAAGGCCCACAGGCCTGTGCGTGTGTGTGCACGTGTGCGTGCGTGCGTGCGTGTGCGTGCGCGTGCGTGTGTACATACATACATATATACTTTCTCAGCCCTGTAGTCCTGTTACAAACAGGTGAGGAAAATGAACACTGGCACTACAGCAGGGTTAGAAAAGAGCCCCACCTTTTTCAACTCTCTGTGGTAACTCTTGAAGGACAAACTTGTAATGAAGTCAGCTGCAACACTGCCAGATGTGCACCAGTAAATGCCCACTGTGCTTAAAGGACACAAAAGAAGAGTGGTGTGTCTCCCACTTCACATCTGTGGATGGAACGCTGCCACTAAGGATGGACACTTTCTAGAGTCAGGCCTCCGGAGGGAAGACACTTGCTGTACAAGTCAGACGACTTGAGTTTGAGCCCTAGAACCCATTATAAAAACCTGGGCATGGCAGCACATGCCTTTATCCACAGCATTTGGGAAGCAGAGGTGGGCGGATCTCTGAGTCCCAGGCCAGCCAGGACTACAGAGTGAGACTCGGTATTTAAAAAAAAAAAAAAAGTCCTGTGACCTCCACTGGAGGTCACAGCCCTCACCCCCCCCCCCACCTTTCTCCATCACACACAATGATAAAAGTTGAAAGTAAGTAAGAAAGGATGCTTTCTAAACAGTCAGACGTTTAAATTTGCAGCTAGGCAGAAGAAAGAAAGCAATGTTTACTCTTACCTCCTTTCTGAAGTCTCCTTCCTTTTGTGGCCGAATGTGATCCAACCAGTCAGCTTTTACACCATCAAAATAACTCTGGACCCTGGATTTCAGTGATTCATATTGCCAAATAGCAGCTGATCCAAATGCACAGCCTGTGAACTAGAGAAAATATTTAAATAATCTGAAAATGAAATATATTTCCCAGATAATATTTCACCTAGCACAGTAAAACCTAGCATGTTGTTTTATAGTCAAGAGTCCAGAAGCCTGTTTCCAGCAATAACTCTCCAGATAAAATAAAAATACTAACTTAGTGCCACTTGAAATGCTATATGAAATAGGAAGCCCATAAATGTCTTCCTTAAAGCTCATACAATGGGACCAAATTCTGAAAGCAATTACTGGATTCATTCTTTAATCTGAATTCACCTGGCCAGCTTCCCAGTCCCACTGAGCCCCACCCTGTCTTACAGGAAGCCGCCCAGGGTAGTACTTGAACCCAGAGTCAGCAGGAAGCTAGGAAAACACCCGTAGTGTGAGCTCTTACCCCAACGGTGAAGAAGAAGGGCTTCACAAGAGTTCTTAGAGGGTAGGGGGAAGGATAAAAAACGGTCTCTTCCAGAGGCGGGATCAAGGCACTTCTCTTGTACGATTCACCACCCGACCCTTTGTCTGACCTTCGCGGTTCAACCTTCCTTGGCGCTTTTCTAAAGCCACATTTTTGCTGAAGAAATAAGTTAAACCTGTGGAGGGTGGGTAGGTATCTGATTAGAAACAGTGCATCTCACAAACGGCAATCCCTAGGAACCTCCCCTTGGCCTGAGTTATATTCATCTGACTTTATTTATAATAATCCAACAAGAGGCAAGACACCTAATCTCTAGTAGGCATCTTTCTTTCCAATGTAATAATTTTATTGAGGGTTTCACATAATACATCCTGATCACATTCACTCCCCATTTCCCCAGGTCCACATCCCTCTCTTGTCACCTACCCCAAAGAAAAGGAAAGAAAAGAAAGTGCACCAAGTCCATTTGTGCTGTCCACATACCCACTGGAACATGGTCAACTCCCTGCACCTTAGAGAAAACTGAGTCCTTGCCCACCCAACCCCTGCCAGAAGCCATCGACCGGGAAGAGCTTCATCAAGGCGGATCCTTAATCCTCCCAGGAAAAATAAACACAAACAACAGCAGGTTGGAAAGTACACCGCTGGGCGATTACTTTGTACCAAGCAGAAAAATAACCCCTCCAGTCTCCCTATGAGTCCTGTTGTCTGAGAAAAAACTACAGACATTGTGAACTGTTCCTTTTTGTTTCTAGTTTATTTTTTGTGTGTGTGTGTACTCATACCCACACCCCAAGGTTAGAGGTCTCTTCTACCTAGTGGAGCCATAAACTGCCGGCCTCAATAAGCATAAAATAACTTGGTTTTGTTTGAATTCTGGTCAGTTTCCAAAAGAGACATTTAAGTGCGTTATCCCTGCAACCGTAACTATTTCATTTGGTGAGTGTTATCATCATGAAGTCATGGGCTCCTCCCCCCTCTCTCCTTAACTCACTGCTTTAGGGACACCAACCAAATACATTCTAAAGGATCTTCTTGTCAGAGTCCTTATAACTTGGCCTTCTCAAAACATCTGACACTACCAATCACAGCCCCGGTCCCAGCTCCTGGGAGTCTGTGTTCTACTCTCCAAATTGACCTTTCACACTGATGGTTCTATTCCGGAACTCCTTGGGAGCAGACATGCACTCAAAGGCTCTAAGTCCCTTCATCTACGCAAACCCAATCCAAGCAAGTTCCTGAAGCACATTTTTCTTCTGCTGCCATTCCCATCACACCCTAAACAGGAGGCTGAGGAAGAATAGTGAGTTCCTGACTGGCCCGGGCTACACCTGAAGGTCCTAGTTTTTTGTTTTGCTTTGTTTTTTTAAAAAAAAGAAAAAGGAAAAGGTCACCCTCTTTTCCACATGCTATGTGCTACAATATGCCCGGAAAAAAAAAAAGGAAGAAAGAAAGGAAAATAAGGTGAGGGAACCAACATGTGAATCAGTACAGCACTTGACTTACACACATGCCTGCCGGGGCTCGACCCCCACCCAACACAGCACAATCCAAGGAGCTGTGGGTAGCACACACCTGTGATCCCAGCACTCAAGAGATGGAGGGAGGCAGGACTGCTACATCTGGAGTTTGAGGTCACTCTGAGCTATATAAGACCATGTCTCAAAAAAAAAAAGAAACAAAGCTTTTTGTTTCTAGTCTAGTCCCCTCCTTCATGCTTGGATTACATTTAACAATTTGATTTCAGAAGATTATCCATTTATTCAACTAATGCTAAGGCTGCCCTAAATAGCTCTGAACTCTCTTTAATGACAGTTATCGGTCTGATAAGCAAACACCATTGAACAGCCCAACCCTCCCTTCATTTTTCCAGCCTTCAGTATGTTGTGTCATATCATCTGGAATTTTGGCTACATGAAACTTAAATACATATCACTAGTTTCTGTCTGCCTGTGATACACACACACACACACACACACACACACACACACACACACACACACACACCTGTAGCTAGAGTTTTCCTGCCTTACCCACAGTCAGGACAAATCTCTGTCACCTGCCAGTCCCACAGCCGCTCAGACCCAACCAAGTAAACATAGAAACTTATATTTGCTTACAAACTGTATGGCCATGGCAGGCTTCTTGCTAACTGTTCTTATAGCTTAAATTAATCCATTTCCATAAATCTATACCTTGCCACAAGGCTCGTGGCTTACCAGCATCTTTTCATGCTGCTCGTCAGGGTGGCGGCTGGCAGTGACTCCTTCTGCCTTCCTGTTCTTTTATTTCTCCTCTCTGTTAGTCCTGCCTATACTTCCCACCTAGCCACGAGCCAATCAGTATTTTATTTATTGACCAATCAGAGCAACTTGACATACAGACCATCCCCCAGCACAGCCAAATGCAGACCATCTCAGACACCTGCACTCAGGCCCGTGGTCCTAATCATCCTCTATGCAGACCTGCTGGGTAAAGCCACGAGGAACCCGAGAACGAGCTCGCATAGGACATACAGAACATCCCACAGCACACACCCTTCTCCTTCTGGCTTGAATAAGGATCTAATACCTAAAACTAGAGCAGTTATCTTTAAAGCCAAGAGAAAAGTCAAGGGATTTACACTTACACCTTAACATTTTCGAATACAGAGCCAAGACAGCAGCTACTTCCTTCCCTCAAAACACCTTAGGTAAGTAACTACCATTTATCTAAACTGCCATCAGTTCTATAGTCAAATGCATCCCTAAGTAATGATTTTTTTAAAACTTTATTTTTTTTAAACTTAATTGTGTGGATGAGTGTTTTGTCTGCATGTATGTCTGTGCAATTCATGTATACCTGGTGCCTGTGGAAGCCAGAAGAGGGTAACAGAATTCTAGGACTAGCATTATAAGCAACTTGTGAATCACCATGTGGATGCTGGGGATTGAATCTGGGTCCTCTAGAAGCTGCCCAGTGCTCTTAACCACCGAGCCATCTCTCTAGTCCCAAAAGCTTTATTTGTAATGTGTAGGAGTTTTGCCTGCATGTATGTTTGTGTACCACATGCATGCCTGGTGCCAACAGAGGCCTGAAGAGGGTGCTGTATCCCCTGGAACTGGAATTCAGACAGTTGTGAGCCACCATGTGGGTACTGGAAATCAAACTCAGGTCCTCTGCAAGAGCAGAGAGTGCTCTTGACTGTTGAGCAGCTCTCTAAAACCCAATGGTGTTAAAGAGCAAAAGCAGATCTAAAAAATAGAGTGATAAGTAACTAAGACAAGTGATGTCACTCTGGACCAAACCAAAGGATCATTACCAGAGTGCAGTCATTATACAGACCTAAAGTTGTAGTCCAGTAAGTACTACTGATTTCTCTTACTGGATCAGGAACTAGAAAGGATATGAATCCAGCAGTTTAAATGTATCAACCATTCTTTCTCCTTTTAAGATAGGGTCTCACTGTGGCTTAGGGTGGTGGCCCTTTAATTCTTGACCCTGGAGTCTCAGACTCCGAGTACTGGATTACAGACTTGTACCAGCATGCCCAGAAAAACCAGCCAATTCAAATAAAAGACTACTTCTGCATCTCATCAATCATTTAAAATTCTGAAGCTTGAAAACTACACTGAAACTCTAGAGTCAAAGCCAAGACATTTAGTTTTATTCATTCACATGAATACAAAAGATAGAAAATTATTTACCTAAAGAGGAAAACTGGAAACAAAGAAGTTGTTTGTTTTTTGTTTTGTTTTAATGTTTTTGTCTACATGTATGAGTGTTTTACCTAAATGTGTATCTATGTACCATGTGCATGTCTGGTGCCTGAGGAACCCAGAGAAGGTGTCAGATCCCCCTGGAATTGGAGTTATAGACAGTTGTGGGCTGCCATGTGAATGTTGGGAATTGAACCAGGGTCCTCTAGAAGAGCAGCCATAAACCATCTCTCAAGCCCCAAGGCTATAACTTTAAATAGAAAACTCATATTCATGTATTGTTGGCTAAATGATGAGGTTACAAGTAATTTTAATATAAACTGTTTTCAAGCCTGTGAGTATAAACACAACTTAAACATACATACAGGTTGGTACTGTTATGATTAACAAAGTTGAGGAGCAATAACCTTGTACTCAAAAGGGGAGACGTGTCTAGACATGATTGATAAGAATCATTCCACTTAAAACAAGTTTTGGAGGGTTGGGAGGAGTTCTTTGTATTTTGTTTTTGAGACAAGAGTCTTGCTATGTAGCTTTACCTGGTGAGGAACTTGCTATGTAGACATAGCAAGCCTTGAATTTGCAGGGATCTCCTCCTAAGGGCTGGAAACACTGTCATGAGCCACCAGGCCTGGCTCTTTATCAACTCTTAAATGCCAAGATTATTTTCTTGAAACACATCTTGAGTTAACAGAGAGTGAAAAGAATGAGTCTGACTTACTACTTTGTTGAGTATCTTACCTAATTTTTTTTTTTTTTTTTTTTTTTGGTTTTTCGAGACAGGGTTTCTCTGTGTAGCTTTGTGCCTTTTCCTGGAGCTCACTTGGTAGCCCAGGCTGGCCTGTAACTCACAGAGATCCGCCTGGCTCTGCCTCCCGAGTGCTGGAATTAAAGGCGTGCGCCACCACTGCCTGGCCTAATTTTTTTTTTAAAGGCTGTCATTTAAACCTAACAAAACTAGCCCCCCACAGAAGTGCCAAAATCAACTATTTACTTCCTTTGGATTTCATTCAACTGGAAAATTATGCAGGTTTCTACTTTCAAACTTGTTAAGTGCCTAAATGATTTTTTGTTTCCTGAGAAAGACTAAATAATAAGTACTTGTGGACTACTGAAATCTTCTGTCATAAAATATCATAAAATCTTACATTCCTATAAATATGGAAACAATTTTTGGCAGGTGCCTTGGGACTTTGTATCTTTATAGGCCTTTGTATCATCACACAGTGTTTGTGAAATGCAAATTCCTGGGCCCTCTTTAGAGCCACATGGCTCAGGTCATTCTGTATGCTAATTTTAGAACCACAGCAACTCAAAACAGACTAATGATCACAAAGAACTCCTATTCCTTACTAAGTCTGTACTTCAGGAGACAGGAGAAAAGCCAGTACTTCAGGCTCACCCACATTCAGGCAACAACGAGAATGTCATTTTCAAAGTTTCCATATAAATCATTAATACCACATATATTGGGGGGAGGGGGCATTGAGACAGGGTAGAATCTCAAGCAATCTTACAGTCTAGATTCTACAATCTCCACCTCCCGGGGGCTAGATTACACACCTGAGCCATCATAGTGGACTATTCTGTTTTGAGGAGGTCTGTGTGTGTGGCCTTACTAGAGATTGTGTACGCTAGACAAGCACTCTATCAATCCCCCGGCCTTTACTAGAGGCTCCTCACTAATGAAGTGAGCTCTTTTTGTGCTTTTTCCCCAAAACTACTACAGCCAATCAACAAGATCACTGAAATCTTTAGTCACCTCCAATTAACCGCCTCAGCTCCATCTGTTTTTGTTTTTTTTTTCTTTTATTAATAACATGATCTTATGCTGCACAGGCTGGCTTCAAACTCCTGATCATCCTTACAAGCATGTCAGACCACACCAGGCTGTTTAGGATTAATGCTTCACTTTGATCATCTTCCTGATTCTGATTTTGGGTGGCACTGGGAAACAACAGAGTCTACAAACAGTCCAGGTGACTTTTATTTGTTTTTAATGCAGGTTTTCCCCAGGCTCCAACTTAACCATCCTCCCACTCCAGACTAGTGAGAGCTGAGAGTGCAGGTCTGTGCCCACCTCAGGTGAATTTTAAGATCGAGCCTGGCAGTGGTGGCGCACACCTTTAATTCCAGCACTCGGGAGACAGAGGCAGGCAGATCTCTGCGAGTTCGAGGCCAGCCTGGACTACAGAGTGAGTTCCAGGAATAGTCGCAAAGCTACACAGAGAAATCCTGTCTCGAAAAACCAAAAACAAAACAAAAAAGATCAAGTGGTAGCTTCACCATGCTGAATCTTAATTATTTGCCACTAACTAGCCCACACGTTGATAAGATTTCAGGCGTACCATCAAATCAGGCAGAAATTGCAAAGTTGAAATCTTTGGTTGAAATTTCAAAGTCAAACTTAGTTCTTCAACTGCAGAATTCCTCTGAATTACACTTAATGTAAAATCGGCCGACCTGAAAGGCCATGTGCGCCCCACGCCAGTCTGAGGATGACTTTCTTTCCAAAGCCATCAACTCGGCAAAGAAAAGGCCTCTCTCTCGGGTAAGTCTGTATTCTCCCGACTCGGTGCGTTCTTTAGTTCTTCTGAGCGCTAAGAAGGCACGCAGTGGTGCAACACCCGCTTTACCAGCCACGGGAAATGCAATCGGACTTCAGCCACCCTACCAGCTCTGCAACTACTTCACTAGAGAGCGAGCTCAGTATTATTTCCCTCTCAAGCATATGAACCGGACAAGCGCGATTAACCCTCAGAACTCAGTTCCCCTTCGCCACCGCGTCCCTCGCAAAGCCCGGGAAAGACAGCGCGGGCTTGGAGAGCCGGGCTGGGCGCGGCAGCCACGGCGCACGGCCCGGAGCGACGCCCTCGGAGGCGAGAAGGGGACGAAGGACCAAGGAAAAGCGTGGCGGAGAAGAGGCAGCTCCGGGGAAGCCCTCGTGAACAACGGAGAGCCGGAGAGCCGAGCCCCGGGCGGCCGCCGCCGCCTCCGCCCGAGGATGCGCGCGACCCCAGCTCACGGGAAAACCGGGAAGCCGGAAGCGGCAGCCATTACCTGCGTCCGAGCAGCCGCGGGGCCTGGGCCGCAGAGAGCTCCGGGCAGCCGCCGCCCACTGGAGGCGCCCACGCCTGACCGCAGCCCCAGCCTCGCTGTGCCCAACCTCGCAACGCCATCTTCCCAACCTCGGCCCCACCATGGCCCGACCTTACCAACCCCAGCCCCGGAACCACTTCCGGGGCAAAGGAAGACCACAGAGCGCGGAGGCGCAGCCTAGAGCGCCGCCTGGCGGCGGAGCCGGTGCCGGCCGGCGGCCTCTCCGAAGCGCACCTCCCTGGAAGCCCCGGGGAAGATTTGAGCATTCTGGTAACGCTGTGGGTCAGACACCCTCCGATGGTCACCTTTAATCACAAGACACCGTTTCACAGTGCTCCCGAGGCTCCGAGAGATGAAATGGCTCGCGTGTTGAGCGCTTGTCATCTTGCCCTGCATCCTACCACTTCGTGTTATTCTGACATCCGCATACGTAAGAGAACAGAGCTCTTATCTTTAACCCGAACTGGAATGTTAGCCCGTGGGTCGGTTCTGTTTCCTGCCACGGCATCCGCCGTGCCTTAGCTGCAGCCGTACCCAGCCATGGGTCGTTTTTCAAAAACACTGATAGCGGAATTGTTAGGGTCTGAGCCTATATACACTGGCAACCCTAGCGAGCGAGGCTTGGCCACCTGTCTTCAATACGCCGATTAAACAGTCAAGCAGATAGTAAAAAGCAGGAAAAGATTTATTCAATGGGGCCACACTGGGAAGAACGTAGAGGTCCAGTGACTCCCCAGCTCATCTTCCAGGTCTAACATGAGGATAAGGCTTAAATAGAAGACAAGAGGTACGCAGTAAGGAAATTGTGTCCCCTCACCCCTCACCATTGTCCGAGCTCCATTCTACAGGATGGCCCACTTGACAAGTTGCAAATCTTGGATGTAGGAGACAAGCAAGTGCCGCCTTTCCCGAGAGCAGAAAAAACAGACTTCAAAATGAGAAGAGATTTTAAAGAATTAACTTCATGCTGTTGACGAAAACAATTCTTCAAGAAGACATTACAGTTGCATTAATTTATTGTTATTTTGGAGACAGGCTCTCAATGTGTAGCCCTGGCTGGCCTCTTTACAGAGATCTGTCTGCCTCTGCCTCCCAAATGCTGGAAGTAAAGACAATTCACAGGCTTCCTTCCTCCTAAATAGGTCTTTGCACCCTGCCAGGGGTTGAGGTGGAGCTCCCACCCAAACATTCCAGACTCTTTAAGTATAGGGACGCCGGTTCAAGTCTGACTACATCCTGTGGGCATGGGGCAATGTGGGGAAGAGGAGTCAGGAATTGGTGAGCTCACATTTGGCAGGAGGTGTGAATGGAGGAGCATCCGCTTAATTATCATCCTGGAGACCTCAGGCATCTGTTTCTTGAGGAAGCAAAGAAGGCAAGTTTCTAGGAAAAAAAAATAGATCATTAACATCTGCCCTAGTTGTGCTCTAAAGATGAATGCAGAAGAGCAGATAGACCTTTTAGTGGGACATCTTGGAAAACCGGAGGGTGGAGGGTCCCAGCTGCTGGACAGACCATGTATCCTGAATGAGCCTGTTTGAGCGATGTCCAGCATGGATGTCCCAGGAGCTTGGCAGCTGAAGGGGTGGTGAGGATCACAGTATGAACAGAGAAGGGACCTCAGAAGAGAGAGGTAGGGGAGGTACCCAGCCAGTGGGGGAGTTTGGGCTGGGAGGTGGTGATTGAGGAGGAAGGACCTTCTGTAAAGGAGCTCAAACGGGCTCAAACCTGTAGGAGAGCGTGGGGTGGCCTGGAGGTGGGTAAGGGCAATGGGGAGAAGGGAGGGCCAAGATAACCTGAGTTCAATGGAGAGCTTGGTGAGCTGTGGTTTGATGAGTCCATTGGCCCTCTCAACCTTTCCTGAGGATAAAGGTGTCAACCATAGTTAGGAGGTAATGGAGTTCTTTAGGTGTGGGCATGTGAGTGAAGCCCACCTGCCAATCCTCACCTGGTTGGTGTCCTCGAAGCTGGTGCCGAGGCTGACATATCTGGAGGACCCCTGTAAATGGACCTGTGAGATACTCAGGAGAGTGTGGGGGTCAAGGTGAGTGTGGCCCCAAAAAGGCCGAGAACATTGCAACCAAGCAGAGGTGCAGGGCAAGCAGGTATGACCAGAAGAAGAGTGTGAGAAGAATCGCCCTGCAAGAATGCAGGGAAGTGTCAGGGTCTTAAGTGGGAAGGAAGGGATCACAATGTCAAAACAGAGTAAGCAGCTCCCGTGTCCAAAAGAAAGTCAATGGACTTAGCCATTACGTGCAGCGTCACCCTAGACTCGGAGAGGGCAATGGGAGTCAGCAGGTCTGGGCCATGTCAGTTCTCTGTCAGGCTTAGGAGTTCTCAGTTGCCAGTGGTGGTGAGGCTGGACCTCCATGGCATGGCATGGAGGCAGAGCCTGCTCAGGGGCATTCCAATTTCCAGTGCCCAGGCTGTCGGCAGACAGGGCATGGCCTCCTGGGTGGCTGGGGGTCAGGGCAACACCGTGACCAGGGGCCCTGCTTGCCGCATTTGAAGCAAGTTTTTGGCAGAGTTGACCTGGGCTGAGCTCGGGTGGGATGGAGCCTCCTGGCCGACTTCTCTTGTGGCCCCAGAGCAGCTGCTAAGGCTTGGCCTTGGAGCGTATTCTGTTGCAGCCTTGTCTGTGGGGTTGACTCGGCTATCATTCTTGAGCATTAAAAGCTTTAAAAGCCATTTCCACCAATTCCTATAGGAGAGTTTGGGGATACTCCTCAGCATTTAAAAATTTTTTTTTTCTAATATCTGGCACTGACTGAGAAATGAAATGGATGCGGAGGCAGGAGTCTGGCGAGACTGAGTATGAGAAGAAACTGGAGAAGATTTGGGAGAAGAAACTGGAGAAGATTTGGGGGCATTAGGCCAGTGTGTAGGTTGAGGCATTGGGAGATGGGGGAGCAGTGGGAGGAGGGGAGGACAGGGAGGAGGGAAGGAGGAGGAATTTGGTCTTAGATTTGTGGCCGCAGAGGAGGGGGTTGGGTAAGTAGAGATGGGGGGGAGGGGGGAGGGTCAGTGTCTCCACCAGTGAATGAAACATGTGGCCCCATAGGAGGGGTTTGAGCAGGTAGAGTCCCAGGGAAGTGGGGGAGGGGCCAGTGTCCCTGGCAGCAAGGTCAGAGCGGAATTTTGAGGATCCCAGGTCCCAGATAGGCGGAAATCTGGAGGCGCCATGACCCTAGCCAACAAGACCGGTGCTGTGGGACATTGGCCCCTGTAGGGAGGGCAAGAACGCAGAACCCCAAAACCGTGGGCATAGGGCAGTTCCATCAAATTATACAGCTAGCCCCAATTTGAATGAATTTTGTGGAAGGCCCCACAGGGGCATTTGGGCATCAGGCTTTTGAATGGCAAGTGCCGTTTCTCAAGTCTATGCCGAGGACCTGAAGTCTAGCACAATGCGTCCACTGTGGTAAGTCTTGGGTCAAAAATGGGGGGTGGGAGGTTCCCTTCAACAGAACATTTTCTGGAGAAGGGGTCCCATGGAACAAAGGCAGCCCTCTGCACCAGAAAGGGTCGGGTGGAGCAGAGGCAGCCTCTTGCTCCAGAACGGGTTGGGGGCCTGGTACGGCTGTGTCTTTGGCAGGACACCCCCAAAAACAAAGAGGCCCTAGGCTTCCTAGGCAAGGACTTGGAAAGGAAACTTACCCAGCTGGGAGCAGATCTCAGTCTGGCAGAGAGCAGGTGTGGGCGCGAGAGGAGTGTTTTCCCACCTCGAGGCCCTGGACCAGTGGGGAAAAATCGGCACCCCCTCGGTGGAACCCCCAGATGATAAAGTCTTTTCACCCCGAAGGCCTTTCTGCCGACACAGCAATCCAAATTAAACTGAATCAGGCTGAATTGGAACAGCCCGGGTTTAATGCGTAAAGCATTCCCTGGCCCCTCAGAGAGGAGACTGGGAGGAGAGACCAGAAGAACCAAAGGTCTGTTTTGGGGATGCAGCTTGTATACCCTGTGGGAGTGGTCTTGAGCCTCTCTGGGGGAGGAGCTGTGTTTGGTGGGCTTTGCAGGGGCCGGTTTGGGGAAAGAGATGCCGGAGGGGAGTTGAGGTGGATCTTCCACCAGAACATTCCAGACGCTAGATATACGGATGTCAGGGTGCCAGGGGTTGAGGTCGAGCTCCCACCCAAACACTGAACACCTGTTTGTTCTCCGTGTAATGGCAAGGTTTTCCTCCGCCCCGCTAGTCTCTCGCAAATAGTCCTGGCCACGTCCAGTCTGCTGGGGAGTGGGGGGGGTTGTTGTTTGGTTGGTTGGTTTTTTCCTCTGCTCTGGATTCTTCCAGAGGCCTCTGGGTATTCTTCTCTTACTCACAACAAACCCCACCACCACCACGGAGTGGCCATTTTGGTGGGGTTTTTTGCTGCTCTGTCACTTAGAATGTAAAGTTGGGATCTGATCGACTGTGTGCTCAGATGACTCTGGAAAGCAGGTACAGGTGATCTCATACAGACACTGGTGTTTTGGTTCTGACAGCAGCACCATACAACAGCAGAAAACTTTTATGTTTGTATCTATTTGTTTGCAGTGCTTAGGATAGAATTGAGAATCTAGCACATGCCAGACCAATTTTACCACTGAACTACACCCCAACCCTCACGTCTTTTAAAGAACATGAAAGAGAAAGGTAAAATACTGCGCCCCCATAATTTTTTTTAAAGATATATGCCCTTTGGATGGGTGGTGGCTGCACATGCCTTTAATCCCAGCACTTGGAAGGCAAAGGCAGGTGCATCTCTGTGAGTTTGAGGCCAGCCTGGTCTACAAAGTGAGATCCAGGACAGCCACAGCTACATAGAGAAACCGTCTTGAAAAACAAACAAAAATATATGCCCTCTGGTCAGAAGGGGGCAGGAGAGGACAGAAAACAGTGTGCTCCTCCAGCACCCCCAGGATACAGTTGTCTGCATCTTGTCAATACATTTTCATCATCCTAGAAAGTTCCCTCATTTAAAAAAATATTTAATATTTTTATGTTTATTTATTTTATGTATATGTTTTGCCTACATGCCTGTCTGTGCACTATGTGCATGCCTGCTGCCAGAGGTCAGAAAAGAATATCAGAGTCCCTGGAACTGGAGTTACAGATAGTTGTGAGCCACCATGAGGGTGCTGGGAATCGAACCCGGGTCCTCTGGGAAGAGCAGTTGTTATGAGCAGTCCACCAGAGATGACCACTCAGACACAGTTTATAGACCATTGAAAGTCTTTATTCCAGCTGGCTGGGACTTCACTCAGGTTTTCAGGGATCCAGGTGTAGCCCTGAGTGTCCAGAGCACAGGTTGTTTGAAGCAAAAACCACATGAGGGGGAATATGTAGAAGCAAGCAGTTTAACAGAAGCTAAGATAAGCAGTTAGCTGGAGGGGGTTCGCATAAGCAGGCAGTTTATCAGACTAAAGATAAGCTAGCTTGGGCATCTTGACCTCTGGTCTCAGAATAGAGTTGGGTAATTTTCCAGGGCTTTCTCCATCACAGAGATCAAATTCTAGCTAAAGCTGAAATGGCCTCAGCAAGAATACAAGATGAAAGAACTCTGCACTGTCTCTCTGTCTCACAGAAAGCACTCTTCACCGCTGATTCATCTCCAGCCGCCACTCATGTATTTTTAATGGTCAACCATATGCCTGACCTTGGCAACCACTTATCTTTTTTTTTTTTTAAATTACTTACTGTTTTACTTTTTTAAAAAGTAGTGTAGAAATGGAATCAAAAATGCACATTAATCCAAGTATGTTTTCAGCTTCACTCGATAAAAATGCTAAGGACTAAGATGGCCGGGGTTGTAGGTCAATGTTTGTTTTGTTTTTCAAAGAACAGTCGAATTCTTTTCCACCACGATTTTACCATTTGACAGTCGCTAGAAGTGTGAGAGCACTCTAGCAGTGACCAGCGGGGTGTGAGCGGGGTGTGAGCACTCTAGCAGTGACCAGCGGGGTGTG